GAGTGCAAAGCTTGGAGATGGTAGGAGCTAAGGGGCAGAATAGAAATGTTTATATTTTAAGTTAGGTTGATATTATACACATTTTTTAGATTACCTATCAACTTTGGCAAAGTGTCCCACATTGTCCCACACAAACATAGTGTTTGTCCCACATTTGGTTTGTTGGGATCTGGTAATCCTACCATTAATGATTGTTACATATTGATATAAACAATATATTTTACATGACAATATTAATTATTATTATTATTTATATTATTTCTGGTAGCAGTAGTAATACTTATTATTATTATTATTATTATTATTATTGATATTAACCTTGTGTGTAAGGTGCGAATTTAGTATTTAATGATGCAGTGTTAGTTTGTGTCTGTTGAAGCATTTATTTTGAAAGTACATACCGGAAAACCTGAATGTCTGCAGTGACGCTCGCTTTATGATTCGATGTGTTGTAGTTACTCACCGTGGCCACAAGAGGGCAGTAAACACTCCTGATTCAGAGAAGGATAAAGTCGAACAGATTGTAGATCTAATAATTACCAGTGTTGATGTTACTGTTGTTATTTGTCTTAACCACACTAATAATGACGTGTACATAATAATAATAATATTTTTACTTAATGTGCCACAACCGTAATGCTGCAGTTCTCCCCTCTGACCACTGGAGGGCAGTAAACACTTGAAAGAGTCGTGTTTACTGTTCGATGCTGTACATAATTACCACTGACAGTATATTATTACAGACTCTAATAGTCTAGCAGTAACACGATTATGCGGTTATTTTATTAATTAATTGATGTATTATTTTCGGCGGGAGAATGAACATTTATTTAGTTATTTATTAATTACTGTCCATGTACTTTATGGGCCCACATATAGGGCTTCATAATTGTGTGACGAAATTATTAAGGAAACATTTTGCTTTTCCACTTTTATTATTATTATTTTATTATTTCATTATTTTTAACTGTTGTTGGGATTGTGTCGCTAATCTACTTTGTACCTCAAAAAAACACATTAAAAACCATCCGACGCCCTTGTGGCTGACCCCCGTCCCCGCCCCCCTCACCTCCTCCCCGCCGGGCAGTCCCATCAATTAAAGCGAACGCCGCGTATGAGACAGCCAATCAGGTTGACTCCCTGCTACGTCACCACAGCTCTGGAAAAAAAAAAACACAACAGCTCGTCTCAGTTTGTTTCCTGTTAGCATCAGCATTTAACAACGCAGCCGCGGTTAAACTGAACGTGTAACATGTTAAATTAACGAAGGCTCTTTCTGTTTCTGGTTGACGTTATCTTTGCTGTGGCGGTAAAAAAAAAATTAAAAAAAATAAAAAGCACGCTGAAGGATAATCGGAGCTGTTGACGCGCTGCGAGCTGCCGAGGCTGCGAGCTAACTGTAGCTAACACCCAGCAGAGGAAGATGGGCTCCATCCTCAGTCGCAGGATCGCTGGTGTTGAGGATATCGACATCCAGGCGAACTCTGCATATCGATTCCCACCGAAGTCTGGTAAAGTCATCGGCAGCGTGTCTTTGACTGAATTCCCATTTCCTCATAATGTTTTGTAGCGAACACATCGAGGCAGCGAGCAGAAACTGGCTTCTAGCTGTTTGTTCTTCTTTTCTGATGATCATCAGATAGATAGATAGATAGATAGATAGATAGATAGATGGATAGATAATGATTGCAAACATGTGAGTGCTCCAGATAGAAGAGATTTATTCAGATAATCTTGTAATATTTACTATCATGTATGTGTACACACAGATCAGTGCAAGTTGTTTGCACATTTCTGTACAGCTATTCACTAATTATATTAATATTTATTGTACATATTCTCCTTCTTTTTATATTTGTATATATTCGCTCCTTTTATTCTCTATTTTTTTATCTTTATTTATATTTTTTATGGTTAATTGTTATGCAGCAAACTTACCAAGGGCAAATTCCTTGTATGTGAAAACCGACTTGGCAATAAACCTGATTCTGATTTATTATTCTGTTTTAGCAGCTTCGGGATCATAATGCATGAAGCATTATGTTTCCAACACCAAAACTAAATGTGTTGATGTTTTATACACATTAAATTAAATTGATGGTACTAGAGGGAGACATGAGGTGTATGTCAACAAATGATTTAGTGTTTGTGTACAATTTTAAAGATATTTCAGATAAGTATGTCTTGCGTTTATTATTACACTTTAACGTTGTTATGAGGACATCGAACAAGCAATAAAAACACAATGTGGAGATGGTTAAATCACAATGAGAACAAATAATCTAACTGTTTAAAACCCATTAAAACCAGTTAATTTTTATTTATATTATTTATGTAACATATACAGGCACGATGGCTGATACTTTGATTGATAATGAAGTTACTGGGAATCTTATTTTCTTGTTCATGGGTGGTTAAATCCACTACACTGAAAAACAATCTTGTTTAGATGTATTCATGTGAATAGTCAAGCTGCAGTAACCGTTGTGTACAACAGTGGCATGGTGTTGGTGACTTGCTGATGTAACCTTAGTTTTATGTATTGATCCCATTTAGTAAACAACCTTCATTAACTGTTTTTCTTTAACTGAATTATAGACTTTAATTAAATTTAAAAAATGGCAAAAGAAGAGAGCCTTAAAACGTAATGTTAACACTACCTGTGTGAGGTTGTTTTGGGGTTTAAGTCTTGAAGTAAGTAGTTATTTGAAGTAACTGCATATACACTGAATTATTTGTTACACTGACACAGGCAGAGAGGTTCCTTCTAAAAGAAATATTAAAAAAGGACAGAAAATAATCAGTGTGTCACTATATTCTATTGCTGGCAGTGTCTTTATTATTATTCCCATTTTCTCTCGTCCTCAGGGAATTATTTTGCAAGCCACTTCTTCATGGGAGGAGAGAAATTCGACACACCGCATCCGGAGGGATACCTCTTTGGTGAAAACATGGACCTGAATTTTCTTGGAAATCGGCCAGTGCAGGTGAGAGCAGATGTTTCTTCATCCCAGTGGTTTTAATCATCTGAGAATTCAGCTATATTTTCCACAGCTGTAAAACTTGCATGCAGTTTTTACATTTCTTGTTAGTAAATGAGTGAAACCATGTTGCTAATTTCAAATATCATAATTCATAGTGTTGTTATTGTTTACTAGTTTCCATATGTGACGCCTGCACCCCACGAGCCTGTGAAAACTCTGAGGAGTCTGGTCAACATCAGAAAGGACTCCTTGCGTTTGGTCAGGTAAAGCTAGTGAGGCAATATTATGATACAGATCACAGTGAAAGTAAAGAACTGTTTTAAGGCAAAGAGTTTCCATTCAAAACTTCTGATTCTAGGTACAAAGAGGAATCTGACACACCGGTGGAGGAGGGTGGAAAACCAAAGGTTCAGTATGGTGTGGAGTTCACCTTCGATGCTGATGCTCGGGTGGCCATCACCCTCTACTGCCAAGCATTTGAGGAGTTCTCCAACGGGATGGCAGTGTAAGAGTCTGATCTAAAGACTGAATGAGATGAAGTTGTAGCTATTAGTAGCACAAAAATAATGACAGAATCAGAATCTTATCTAGTCTTTAGTTCATTTGTTTTAAATTGAATCCATCTATAAGAGGATCAGTTGTTCAGATTTTAACTACTTAAACAGATTCATGTAACTGACACAGCAAAATCATTTTACTGGGAAACAGTGTGCCAAAGAGATTTAAACTCAGTTTTATGGGTAGTGAGATTCAATCCTTAGAGCACAAAGACTAGAATAGATACGGTGGGTACCTAGCAACCACCAGTCACCATGGTTACTGCAGATAAGACTGAGAAGAAGATGAAAGTAATAGTTCAATCTGAAGTTTTTATGTTATGATGAGACTGAAAGATGATACATTTTTCGGAATTCAGAAGGATCAGACGTAACTACTGTTCTGCTGTGCTATTCAGGTTTTGTTATTTTCATTTTGTCAAGGGACGCTAATGAGTACTGACTACGTAAAGATGACAGCCGCCATTAGGCTTTCCTTACTGATAAATGTCTCAATGTCAACTTTCGCCGTTGCCCCAGTTAGAAAAAACAGGATTTGAGCAACCAGGAAGTCCAGGTTTTCTTTCCATCTTTCTGCACACTGACCATTTTTCTCTGAAATATGTTTTGTGTTGTGTGTTGTTTATGTGTTCAGGTACAGCCCAAAGAATCCCTCACTGGTCTCTGAAACTGTACACTACAAGCGAGGGGTGAGCCAGCAGTTCTCCATGCCATTTTTCAAAATAGATTTCAGCGAGTGGAAAGAGGAAGATGTAAGTATACGCAAAAAATTGTTCATGTATCCACTGGTACTTACATCAGTGCCTCAACACAATCTTTGACTGACTACTAACTCAAATATTTGCATCGTTTTTCTTAAAGTTGAACTTTGACCTTGACCGAGGAGTGTTTCCCATGGTGATCCAAGCTGTGGTTGATGAAGGGGATGGTAGGTTACTAGAAATGTTATCAGCCAGGACAACATATCTTTTCTACTAAAACTGGTTTACAAATGGAACTGGAAAATTTAGGAAATAGTGAAATATATGTAATATACAATAGTGGCTCACCAGTTATAAGGAATTGCACTAATACTGTTTTAGTTCAGTCAACATTAAACACGTTACTGTTCTTTCTTTCCAAGATTGCCTTGGACATGCTCACGTACTTTTGGCAGCCTTTGAAAGAGTAAGTATACATCTAAATAAAAGTAATTCATTTCACTCTGTATAAAACAAGTTTTATATGAGCTAAAACATGTTTTGTTTGTGTGTTGTTTTTTTTTTACCTCTAGCATGTTGATGGCAGTTTCTCCATCAAGCCTCTGAAGCAGAAGCAAATAGTAGGTTTATGAATGTTCTTATTTCAATATTATTATTATTATTATTTAGCAAATTATTAAGTGGAAGTGGATATCCACACTTTGCTTTAATGAATTTTTTTTTTTTTAATAACCCTAAATCCAAGTCAGTAAATTGTGAAGCGCTTGCTGTATGTGCTACAGTTAATGCAGGATGTTTTATGCAGACCATCAATGACCCTCATACTCATCTGCAGCTTTTGATAAATCTGTGCCGAGACCCTTGGGAGTCTGGCAGTAACGCAGATCCATACAGTAGAGGTTGAATGTAAACTTAGATTACAGGGAGCTCAAAGTAATATCACATAGACTATCTGATTTTTGTGTTTTTAACCTTTCTCTAAAAATGAAACATTACAGTGATTTAATTAAGTACATGCGAAGATAGATGTTTTTAATGTTTAAGACTGTAAATAACATTCAGCAGTGAAATATATGAATCAGTTTATTCTCAACCTTCTCAACATGAATGTCTCTGTATCTTTCTAGGTGGACCGTGTGAGCTACCTCTTACAGGAGATCTATGGGATTGAGAACAAAAACAACCAAGAAACCAAGGTTCCTGTGAAAATAATGCCGTAAACATGAATCTCCGTACTGAATGTTTTATTTGAGTGACGTTTGATTGAATTTGTTTTCTTTTTCCAGCCATCAGATGATGAAAACAGTGACAACAGCAACGAGTGTGTTGTCTGTCTGTCTGACCTGCGAGATACACTCATCCTGCCCTGCAGACATCTGTGTCTCTGCAACTCCTGCGCAGACACTCTGCGTTACCAGGCCAACAACTGTCCAATCTGCAGGCTGCGTAAGAAGTGTTACATTATTTTAATAAAGTTCCTTAAAGCCTTTATTAATCCTATTTGAAAAGTAGTTGAAGTTGAAAGTTGAAGTAATTATTTGTACATCGTTATGGTGTTTAATTTGACTCTGTGTTCCTCTTACTAGCCTTCAGAGCCTTGCTGCAGATCAGAGCTGTGAGGAAAAAACCTGGTGCTCTTTCCCCTGTGTCCTTCAGCCCTGTTCTGGCTCAGACTATGGACCATGACGAGCACTCAGTAAGTCTCATGCACATCTGTGTATCAGTTAAAATCTGCTAAAATTGGCCAAGATGTGCAGCAGCATCAAGGGGAAACTGGGCATGAATTGGGGCTGCGTAACATATTTTAGCTTTATTGCCATATGAAGTGCTACAGTAAAAACACTGTAATGGGGTGCAGCATTAGAACGGCTGAAATTCACAAATGTTAATTCAATTTAACACCTCCATCTAATAATCTGCCTGCAGTTGCTTCAGGGTTAAAGCCTTGTAGCTTTCAGGATGCTGTTAAAATCAAGGTACAGGCTGCTACTGGATGGCTTTGTTAGGCAGTGGCAGACAAGAGATGTACATAAATTGTTGCAATAGTCAAAGAAAGCTTTTTTTATAGTCCTCTTTATTCCAGTTCAATCAACTGTGCATTGTCACAACCAGTCCTCGTCTACGTCTCTTTGCAGAGCACAGACTCAGTTCCTCCCGGCTTTGAACCCATCTCACTGTTGGAGGCTCTTAATGGTCTGCGGTCAGTGTCTCCTGCCATCCCATCAGCCCCCCTTTATGATGAAATCAACTTCTCAGGGGGTGTGGGAGGTGACAGCAGACAGCTGAGCTCCCCAGAGCATTTAAGTGATGGGAGTCTGCAGAAAGGCAAAGTCAGCAAGTCACCTGACAGGTAATCTCACAAAGAGTATGTATACTATATATAGTATGTGTACACACACATTGCTGGAAGTAATCAAGTTAGGATAGGAAATGAGATAATATGCTTACATGTGTAACATCACTTCATGTTAGGCTTGGTCAGTAATCAGATTTACTCCTCACACCTACACCTGATTGATTGAATTAACTGATGTACTGTATCTCTCTCGTTTATTTTTTTTGCCTCCTACTCCAGCACCCTTAGGTCCCCATCCTCTCCCATCCAGGAGGAAGATGAGGAGAAGCTGTCCGAGATGTCTGATGCTCAGCCACACCCAATGCTGTCCAGCAGCCCCGCCCCCACAGACGTAAGCCACCAATTTACCACCTGACATTTAAACTTTGTCTCTGCTACTGCAAAAAAACAAGCGTTAACGTGACCTTCTTTCCTTCTTCTTCCAGGCCACAGCAACCGAGGACGTGGCAGAATCCCTGTCCCCAGATGATGGTGAGTGTTCTCATTTGGCACTAATTATGTGATACTTTGTTTTCTTTGAGAGTTCCATTCATTGACATTTATCCTCCCGGGTGATCCAGAGGACAGGATGCATTCTGAAGGGGACATCTTACAGGACTGCAGCAGTGAACACAGCAGCTTGACCAAAACAGAGAGCGACCCACCAGGTGACTTGTCTCTGCCAGGTGAGAAATTCTCTGCCAGGAGCGAAAGGAAAGGACATTTTTGAAGCCCTGTTCATACAGGAAAAAAGTGGAATATGTACTGTGTATATAATCTCTTTATGTATAAATCCATATATACTGTATTGACGTGTACTCTCATGACAGCTTAGAGCAAATCAGTTGACTGATCATTGACAGCAGCTCCTTCAATTTATAGAATTATCAACTACACATTGTCTGGTTCCTGCTTATTTTTGACTTCTTTCTAGTTCATGAATCTGTTCTGGTTCTCTAACATTTCTCCTCTTAAATCCAAGAATCAAGGCTGTGATTCCCTGAGCTTTGCATCTAATCTGTGTGCTTTTGTGCTTCTCTATTTCCTAACACTCCTTTTTCTGTTCCCTGCCGTCCTGTCCCTTCGTACCGCCTCACTTTGGGCAGCTCTTGGTCCTGATGCCTGCTCTATTGGTATGGAGGAATAACTGTGGTATGTAGGCTTTCCTGTCTGCTCTCCTTCTCTGTGAATGAGCTCTACTGCTCTCACCAAACCCTGTTCTCCATAAAAACATCTATTGTCATCTATAACAGCTAGAAAAAGAAAACATCCAGCAGGTATTATCAGGTGAATTTACTGTGATAGGCCATGTTTGCATTAAAAACCGGCTTATCTTATCAAGAATGAGTACAATTTCTAAAGTCTGACTGGAAAGTTCCCTTTGAGCCATGTTGCTTATCTGTTGCTTCCTCCTCTCCAGGGTCATCAGAGTCTACGGAAAGCCTGAAAAGTCAGAGCACAAACTGCTCCAGCCAACCTCTCCTGTGTCCTACAAGCAGCCTTCATATGGAGGATGAGCACCTCAACCCCTGACTCTGGTCCAGCCTTTTTCTTCCCATCCATCAGAACAGATTTATGCTTTACAAAGATCATCCAGTCCTTCTGTTCCTTTTACCTTCCTTTTTGTGATCAGAGCCAATGACAGCCCTGAAATGAAGTCCACCAGGACGAGGGTGGACTGTGTTTGTTCCATCAAAAGAAATTTGACTCCTGCAAAGATGACTGATGTTTTTAAAAAAGACATTGTTTCTCCAGCTTTGAAAACATTTCATTAACTGTCAGATGGTGTTCAGTTTTGTGTCTTGGCCAGACTTGTGGTCTAGTAATGTGGATTCCAGAGATATTTCACTACCTGTCATGGTGGTGCTTTTAAGCACACTTACTTTAAACTGTATCAATTGCTTAACACTAAATTCAGAAGAATTTATAAATACAGTTTGTGTTTAGATATTGTATTCATCAGTGAAATACATTAATGACTTAAGAACTTGTTTTCCAGTCAGGTTGATTTGAGTTATGAGCAGAAATTTTAAAACATATTACTTATGTATCTGTGTGTCCATTTGAAGTGATTTTGCACTCTGACAAAATCGTTTATAATCCATTCCTTATAACAAGAGTTTATGATGAGATTAGTTTAAGTTGTATGCAGTCTTAAAGATCTATGTGTCACTTTTTGATTATTTCAAATTATGTGATATCTATGTATCAAAACTGTACTAGAATCCTGTGTAGTTATTCCAAAATTGTATACTTGCATATTACATAAAAAAAAAAATCCTAATATTGAAGTAATGCAGCTAGACTCAGTTAAAATGCACATTGTTTAAGATAAATAAATAAGAGCTACAGATTCACATCCTAACAGCTGAACTCAAAGATAGCTAAAGCCTGCAACAAGCATAGATGCTACATGTATTCTGACTCAGTGTGGCACAGTAAGTGTGCTTGTCGTAGATGTGGTACATCTCTGTACAGTCTTTTTGTGGCAATGCCAGTGTCTGCTTATGTGACGTAGCTGCAAAAAAGGGTTCAGGTGTTTGTGGCTGCAACGCCTTTACTTTCCTTGGTCCTGTATGTGTAGCGCCATGCATATAGATCTATGTGCCTTGAATTGGTATGGCTGCCTGCTTGTTGCATTGGACATTAGTGTTCTTATAAATGCTACAATATACAAGTTTTCAGCCCGTAGACAGGATTTTTGATGCTGATGTACAGAACCCTTTTTTCTATTGCAAACTTCATGCTACTGGAAAAATGTATCTCGTTATTGTTATTGCAATATTAAATTGAATTGTTCATTTATTATTTTATGGCCATATATCAATTATGCATTTAATCTTAGTGTTTGGGTTCAAGTGCATTCCTGTAAGATACATTTGATTGGAAGGAACACATTCAATGCAATAAATTGACATTAAATAATATTAAAACATTGCATTTTAATAATTGGGCTAGCATTTGCATGTGAATTTGTAGAGGCTTAAATCTCTCACTGCTTTTAAGTAACATGTTTATTTTTTATTTTTCCCCCCTCATCTTCTGTGCCATTTCAACTTGACACCGTGCCTTCCTGTTCCTGTTTTGACCACTATTGACCTGGTATCCAGGATAACTCCACAGTAGGTGGTTTGTGGCTCTGTAAAATTAATACCTGTCTTTCCTTGTGTGTATAGCAGCATGTGTATAACAATAAAGAACAAAGATTCAGTACTTCAACTACCAGTTTTTTTCTGATCAATCACAATATTACTTTTAATATATATTAGCATATATAATATATATCAATATATTCTTTTTATTGTATAATCCTGCAAATTAGAATCTATTGCATGTGCTTTTTAGTGAAACTAATTTGGCTTAAAATGGAACTTAAATGTTGTCTAAATTTGCCTGAGAGTTGAAAAGAAAGGATATTACACAGTAATGTAAAAAGTATGGCGAGGGATCCCAGTGTACACATGTAGGACTGGAAAAATGCTACATTCTATCTCTAAGTCCCAGCATGTCCTTTTCAGGACTACACAGAACAGTTCAGACCACACAAAAATGTGGCCGGTTTATGATCAACGGCATTACAGACAGCCGAATTTTCCCTCAGGGGGATCAATAAAGGATTACTTTAAATTATTACTTTTTATAAATACGACACATTTGCAAACTGATTTTCAGTTAACTCAGTCATTACCCCCCAATAGCCATAAAGTAAATCTGTCAAGAATAAATTGTGGTGTTTCTGAAAGAAAAACACATCTCAAATATGAGTTCATATTCCTAACAGGAAAAATCTGGAAAAATCACATTAATAGTGCATAGATTCATCCTTTTGCATCTAATTTCAAATGCAAAGCTGCCAGACACTGCTGTAACCTGGCAAAATGAGTCCTCTATCAGTGCCCTCTGCTGGCAAAGTAGGAAACAAAACTGCGCCGTTAACATTGGTTGCACTGCAGTTTGCATCTAACCCATGGACTGCTGTAAAACCATGAAAACAGGTCCTCAGTTAATCTTCTACTTGAAAGGTGTTATGGTTTATGATTAATACATGATTAGGATTTCTGTTCGGCCTGTCAAAAAAGTGTAACAAAGAGTGCCGTTTGTGGTTTTATGCTGTAGTCAACTTGTAGGCCTATTGAAAATAAAGAACATTTGGTGACCCTCTGAGAAATTGTGAGAGTTTCACTTGGTTAATTTGAGAGCAGCGCTGCTGATAAATACACTACTCTGGTTCCAGAAGGCTGAAGGATAAAACAGTATGACCTGTATTGTCAACAAATTAATTAGGGCTGACACAGAGCCAAGTGGATGACTGCTGGCGCAAACACACACACACACACACACACACAAACACTAAGCTCATCTACAATCTTTGTCTCTAGACGGGCAAAAAATAGTCCGAATTTCTTGTTGATACTTAGCTATCTCTTCAAGTCATTCCTATGTTCCCCGGGTGTTCTCTAGTTCTAGGGATAGAGTTAGGGTTGGGGGTTAGAGAGTTCAATTATATATCTAGAATCTCATTGTTGTTTAATCAGTATCATTGAATTTAAGTATAAAATATAAAGTATAAAATAAAATAGGAGGATGTCCTTTTTATGATGTGATCTACTGTATAGTATTAGGTCTCATCTTGAAACAAGTACATGCTTTATTTTGAAAGAGTGTTACATGTTTCAGATTTCGAACATAATGACATTCCTCTGCAGTGTTGGTTAACTGTTGCTCTCTCTTCAGCTGGACCAACAGGTGCATGCCAGTGTAAAGTTTAATGAGGATTTGGTTACACTGTGGCCTCAAGCTTGCCTGTAAAAACATAATACACTGAGAAAGTGTGTGTGCAAGTGTATGTGTACACACACGCTGTAAACAAGATTACGGTGTATGACACTCAGCTAGAGACGGTCAGTGGGTGAGGTTTTCTAAAAAGTCAGGGTTTAATCTTCTATTAGCTCTCATATATTGCATTCACAGTCTCGAGAGCCAAAGTCCAGTTATTTTAATAGCTTGTCTGAAAAGCTAAAACATGTGTCTGGGATTCTCAAAACTTAACCTTGTCATTCAGTTGCGCTGTGACAGACTATTTTAAGAGACCATGAGGAATTATTTAGAGCTACCCCCTAATAGTCGACTAAATCATTAGTCGCCGAGTAGAGTCTTAGTCTACCCACTTTTTATTAGTCTGATAGGTGCGGGAAAACAAAAACAACAGGGGGACTGTTGATGTGCAACAGAACCGGAGAACAGCGGACCAACAGAGGCCAGCTGATTTATATTCAGATTCATAACTGCTTTGTCCGTCAGCATTTAACATGCGGCTGTTAAAATCTATACATTTAAATAATTAAATTAATATCACAAACGTGCTACAACTGGTCAACTATTGGCCTAAAATTATTTCAGACTGCTCCTACCTGTCACAGGCCAGGCCACACAGATTGACAGGTTGCAGGCCAGAAAAGGTAATTTCATCTCTGGACAACCGTGTTTGCCTCTAACGTCAGAGGATGTTCTTGTATTTGTGATTGGCCAGCTGTCCAGATTAGGTGGGAGATTTCCCATTCATCACTGTAGTGAAAGCCAAGTGGAAGCAGTGGGGTGAAACAATAATCCTTAAAACAATTCTATTTTGGTTTGATCTCTTGAGGGTAAATGCAACGATATTAGGGCTAAGCCTCAAGCCAGGCGATTGTGGTGTGAAGCCTGTTAGAGAGAAATAAATAAATAAGACTACTTCAAAAAGATCTTTTTTACTTTCACAATTTGCAGATGCTTGAGAAAGAAAATGTTAAACCAACTGTTTGGAAAAGTTAAACCAACCAAGAATACTGTTTTTAAACAACAAAACAGTTTTAAACAAAAACAGTTTTAAACTAATAAACAACCAAAATAAGGGTAAAAAAAAAGACAGGACTATATTTTCCTTTGGTGAGAATTTTTAATATAGAGATTCAGGATTAATTTGCCATTAAAAACAAATTTATAATGAACTTAAATCACTTCTTTGTCTGGGAAAGTCTGTGTACAGGTTTACCTGAGGGCAGTCAAAGCAAGTGCTCTCCCAATTAATTAGGCTGTGCTAAACCTCTTTGAGGCATGAAATCATCCCAACAGCAATCCACACAAATCTCCCCCCTCACTCAGTAAAGTTAAATTAGTCCACATGCCCTTGATTTCCAAAACCCTGCCCATGACCGCATCCAGTCACACCACGTCTCACTCATCCCCGCCCTGAGCACATACATATTCAATAAGTGCATGTGCCAACATATGATGTGCAATGTGAATCCTTATCTTTTTCACATCTCTCAACAGTTTATTGAAGGTGAGCAGTGATATTATTAATATGCTTGAAATAGCTATTCTCATCCCATTTGGCATAAAATCTCATCGTCACAAAAAAATATCACATATGTTCTTAAATAAGTTTTGGAAATTTACAAATGATTGCTGTCAACAACCTAAGATGGGGTTAATCCAGATGGACTAATTATAATATGCACAATGAAAAGCTGCAACTACAGAACTGTCTGTCTCTGAACTGGGCCGTTTTAAAAATATGCAAATCACAAAAGAAATACTTCAAGAATAAAATGTCTGTCATTTGAGAGCAGGGGATTTAGAGACTTTGGAGACACGTGCACAGACAGCTATCCTACTTTGAGACGACTACTTTGCAGTATGAGATCAGAGAAAAAGAAGAGGAGGAGGCGAGAGCAGGAGAGACACGAAGGTCAGCATCTTGCCTCCTGCAGTGAGTCAGTTACAGTCAGACGTGTAGGACAAACAGAGAACACGGCAAAAGTTTTGTTGGCAGGGTTTGACTTACTCTGACTGGCATAATTGATAGCATCAGTATAACATTTATACTGCAAAAGTCTGGAAAAGAAGAAATTAGATTAACAAAAGAGCTCTGACAAATAATCAGAACCTCCCGTCTTGTATTATTGAGGCATCATGCAGGTCAGTGGCTCACCGTTTCTCAAGCCCTTCTTTCTGAAGACACCTGTCAGAGTGGTCAACCCCCTGCGACAGAGACGACACACACTCCCAGCCAGCGAGTTCAGGAACCTCACGCCGCAGGATGCCATCAGTGTATTTGAAATTGAGAGAGAAGGTAAGTTTCTGCTGTTTACAAACAGAATATTTGTAAATATTTATAATATTTATAAATTACATCCTGTATGACTAACCCGATATGTATTTAAACACGATTTAAACACTTGACTGAAATTCTACGTGTATAAAGTGAATAAACAGTGATTTCTATTCTGTCATTGGGAAAGGTATACATGTATAATCGTAAATGTATCACAGTATTTGATGTACAATACATTTATACATTAAATACTGCGTTTGGATGTTCAATATCATCTTTGGGCCAGTTTTAATTTAAAAGACACATTTCTCTCATCCATCTTTCATGTAGTCTTTTTCTGATCATCATCATTACTCCCAGTACACGACCCACTGTATGAACTGGTTCCTCTTTTTATCCCCCAGCGTTTGTCTCTGTGTCCGGAGAGTGTCCACTTACCCTGGATGAAGTGCTTAACTTCCTGGGTCAATGCCCTGAGTTGTCACTGGGTTGGTTTGAGGAGGGACAGCTGGTAGCTTTCATCATTGGCTCTGGCTGGGACAAGGAGAGACTTTCACAGGTATGAAAACATAGTTACTGTAAAAAAAAAAAGAAAAAAGAAAGACATTTCCATGCAAATTACTTTTTGTGAAACTTACCTTGGCATCATTAATGATTCTATATAATATTTTTTCTCCAGGAGGCAATGACTCAGCATGTCCCAGACACCCCCACTGTGCACATCCATGTGCTGTCAGTGCACCGTCACTGTCGCCAGCAAGGCAAGGGCTCCATCCTGTTGTGGCGCTACTTGCAGTACCTGCACTGTATGCCGGGCCTCCGTCGAGCTTTGCTGATTTGCGAGGACTTCCTGGTGCCCTTCTATCTCAAGGCTGGCTTTAAGGAGAAAGGAGCATCAGCCATCTCTGTATCCAACATGCACTTCCAAGAGATGGAGTACATGCTCGGTGGGCAGGCATACGCACGGCGGAACAGTGGCTGCTAGTCCATTAGACCCTACCCCACCCTCACTTTCCACTTACTCACCTCTAACATGGACTACAGCTGACAGATGGACAGATAGAGGCGCAGAGCCAGTATGCACCAGTGGACTGGGTTCAGTATTGGTAACAAGGTCTTACTAGACCTCCTAGTGTCAGGACCTCGCAGTATCCCACTGAACAAGGAGTGAAGACTGTGTGAGGACAGAGGGGACCAAGAGTGGATTCATGCAAAAGAAGGAACCAGTTGATAATTTGTCTTATCAGACATTAAATTATATTCCTTCTGATACCAGTAGCATCTTGGCTTTGTGAGCTTAATGTTGTTTTTTCATTTATTGATTATTTGTCTAATCATTCACAATTTACTGTTTGTTATGTAATCGAGGCAGTTCATTGTATTAAATTAAAGTATCACACCTGGAATTGTAAATACTGTTCTATTTTGCTAAACCATATAAATCAAAAGGTGAATTAATTTGTGTCATTGCTGTAAAAGTGAGTTACTTAAGGATGTACATACTGATTATGCTGCCACTAAAACCGCTTCGATTGTTGACTGAAAATTTGTAGCAGAAACTTGTTTCTTTGTTGCATACTTTGAATAAACTATAAAACAATCTTCCACAGGCATTTTCTGGTAATTGAGAGAAAGTCATAGACCATTTTAATTTGTAGATTTTTTTACTGTTGTTTTCAGTTACATGTGAGTAGACAGGTAGCTAAAACACTACCATGTTCAAAACAATCATCACTTCTTGAGAAGCAATAAACAAATAAAAGAAAACATTCGAGTGCTCAGCATAATGTAACAAAAATATGGCAGTAGTTGGTACATTTATCAACAAGGCACCAAAGGTATCAATATTTGATTTTTGTCCCTGCTTCTGTATGAGGTTGCCTGAATAGTAATAAAACCTTTGTCTGGAGTGTGAATGTAAAAAAAAAAAAAAAAAAGTCCTCTCTGTACCAGCACTGGCTTCTCTACTTCCTGCCTCACATGTAAAGGCAGCTGGGAGCTTTGATGAGGTTCAGAAGTGCCATACCTTTGTTTCACTGGACAGTGAAGGAGTGACAATGACTGTCGGTGAACAGGGAGGTGATTAAAGGAAGTCCTTATGAAGTGTGGCATAGGTATTCATACAGACAGAGTAAAAAACACAAGTATACTGTCATTGTTCACAGAGAAGGGGATAGTCCCCCAGTCACACAGGGGCAGAGTGGACTTGCTGTCGGTCCACATCTTTTGACCTGATGCCATCCTGTAGTGTTCATACTATCCACACTTCAGTGGAGGTGTGCATTAAGATCGTACTTCTCGCAAAATTTGTCCGTGAAGGGGATGCAGGTGAGCAACTCACACCAGTCACACTTGATTGGGTAGACATAGAAGAGCACCACAAGGCCCGAAAAGAGCCCAACAAACACCAGCAGGAATACGATGATCTGACAGCGCTTGCGGTACAGGTCCATGCGGCCGAAGCTGATGTAGGGTAAGAAGGCGAAGGACAGAAAGAAGCCAGAGATGAAGCCACAAATGTGGGCAAAATTGTCGATCCAGGGCAACAGCCCAAAGGCAAAGAGGAAGAGCACCACACACAGCAGTTTGGTGAAGGCCCTCCAGGGCTGGGCAAGGATCTGCCAGCTCTGAAACAACTCGACGAACAGGCAGGCCAGGATCCCAAACTGAGAGCCAGCTGGCCCCACCTTAGACAAAGATAGCAGAGAGAGGGACGTAAGCCTACCAAAGTATGTTCACAGAAATTTATAGCACAACTATTTGCATTATTTTGTGTTTTTAATAAACCTGATGAGAAAGCTCTGACACATAATATGACTCAGAAATGCACTGTGATATTTCTGCATTGATATTTCCTGAGCAATATACTGGTGATCACCTCTGCTCTGTAGGGCAGGAAGATGGCTGAAGCCAAGTTGCCAGTTATGCCACTGAGGATGTAAATGATTGAGATGCGCAGCCAGCCTGCCAGCTTCTCCAGGTCCCTTAGGATGGTCATCTGGAAAGCCACCGACACCAGGCAGTGAAGGATCCTGGGAGGACAGAAATGGATTAAGCGCTCACGTGCGTGCAAGGTGATACAGTATGTGTATGTGGGTGAAAAGCTGCACCGGTGTTGGAGGATTAATTCCTCGGTGTAGAGGAGGCAAACCCCTCAACAGCCTGATGACTATGCACATCAACGAAATCAGTTTCTATCCCATTGAAGCTTAATGAGTTTGTGAGGGCACTTTGTTTAATTACCCAGACGACAGATAACAGAGAGCATAAGAAATGAAGCACTGCTCCTCTTAATGGCGAGGTCAGCTCTCTATGCTGACTGAAAGACTTTTCAGAAAAGACTATTCACAGGAATATCAAAGAACTTTAGCAAAATACTTTTTCGACGGCTGTTTATTGTTTGTGTTTTGATTTCATATTTGTATTTTATATATTAGCTGAATGTCTCTATATCTTTCAGTGTGTTTGGTTTGTTGTGACTAGAATATGGGTACACCAAGAGCTACTGACAACTGAAGTCAATTTCCTTCTATCAGTTGTGCCAAATATATGTGGCCAATAAAGCTGACTCTGATTCTGATCTTTTAATCATCCTGTTCCTCACTCACAAACAGTCCTTCAAAACACTGATCTAGAATATTAGGCTGAGGCAAAGCAAAGACTTTAAGCTCTTTTAATTTTTTTGTTTTGGCAGATCTTATCTACTATATTGTAAAAAAAAAACACTGTTTCTTTTGCTAGGCAAATCTTAAAATAAACAAAACTACTTTCCATGATCATGACAGCTACTGACTCACCCAGCATGTAGGAAAAGTGAAAGCCACAGCCTGTAAAACTGATCTGGGATCTCAGGGTTGAGGAAAGGCAACAGTCCACATACATCATCCATGCAGTGCACCTGGAGGAAGACATGGGAAAGAAAAAATATGAAAGATACCATTAATGTGACTTTCAAAAATCACAAAGACAGAATTTCCTACACGAAAACATTCAGTGAGCTCTCACTTAAATCTGTTTTGGTATTCAGGAAGTACAAAAAATAGTACACCACAATAAAAATAGCAACAGATGCAGCACAAATTAAGTTTTGCATTAAACAGACACTCTTCCTTTTTACCATTTGAGAATAATACGGTAGTGTATAATAAGGAGACAGTTGCTTACTTGAGAGCAGAGAGTAGCCTCCTCATGAAAGTAGCCCTTCATGAAGTCACAATATTCCCGGGATGTGATTTCACACCTTCAAAAAAAACAAGCAGTAATTACTAAATTAGTAAACTAGTCATACATCATGTGTCTTACTTGTGTTCGTCATAGGTTCATTCATAGGCTCTCCTTACCTCCCTTTGGTTCCAATGCAGCAGGGTCGGCCTGTGATGGTACAGTCTATATGAGGCAGGTTGGTGTGGTTCCCTGTGTTGTACCTGGTACAAATCTAAAAACCAGACCAGTTTTTTTATTTTTAGATGACCTGTTTTGGTGGATTTGTACCATTTCATAATCCATCCCAGAGTTTGATTCAAAACAGTGCAGTATTGACTCTAAAGTTTTACTGTGTTACTCTGTGACTCCCCTCACAGACTGGTATGTTTAAACTGTACATAATACAGTTCATGAGTTTATAATACAGCAGCAGCGTTAATTCCTCCAATTATTTTATGAAGGTCAGATCATATGTGAGTGATCACCTGTGATATACACTACAGGCCAAAAGTTTGGAAGCAAGATCAAATTTGTACAAAAAAAGGAAAGTTCATAGTTTCATTGGTATACTTTGCAACAAAATTTTAAGATTATTATGAGTATCAGTATTAAGAGTCACTTATCAGAATACATTTTTACTATGATTATCAGGTATTTGGATTTTTCTTGCTTAGACTTTGCTTTCTTCAAAGTAACCTAACCTAATAACAGCATGGCATATACAAGGCATTCCTTCCACAAGTTTTTTAAAGGTATGTGCCAGGAATTGCATTCCAAGCTTTCTTAACCCTTGTCCACCCCTTCAGGAAATGATGATATGTAAAATATTGTTTTATGCTCAAATTTGAGTAGGATCAAAAATGTATGTTATAATGGGAGACAATGGTGCAAAAAATGTCTAAAGGGTAAATGGTGGGACTTTTTCTTCTACACAGTGTGCTATAGCCCTATTATTAGATCCAAGGTTGGAATTTTTAAATTTCTTCAAGACCTTTTTTATAATCATAACTTCCAGTTTCTTTTCGTTTCTTCAGGGTGTAGTAAACTCCTTTGTTGGACACCAATACTGTGTTTCTTTACTAAGCTGTTTCTTTTTTAGCCATTTCTGTGGTAGTTTGTCAGAGATATGAATACAGTTGAGATTTACTGGGATTTTTGTATGCAAACTCTCAAAAGCCTAAGAGCTAAAGTGAATAATGCAAACTGTGATTTGTTTTTTACTTTTGCACTGAAGTTGTGACTCTTTTAAATCTTCCAAACTCTAAAACTAAGCCCTTTTTTTCTTTTGTTAACGTTTATTCAGCAATGGTCTGGTAACATCAATGTATACCTAAAGGTAAATTGAGGAAAAGTCTAAACATGCAGTAAATACATCCCAAAATCCAAATAATTCATACTGTTTTTTAAGAAAGGCACTGTAAACAGAAACTTGAAGTTGCTTCCAAATGTTTGGCCTGTATTCGCCTTGCTTCCAAACTTTTGGCCTGTAGTGTACATTTGAAAAATCTCTTTCCTCTGAGTCCCCTCTTTATGTCTAAATAGCAGACAGGGTTTTACTGTACTCACTGGCCACTTGGTGATGTCATCAGGCCATTCATGAGGTGATACTGAAGCAGGCTCAAGACATATCCTGTAATGAGACAAACAATATGCACACATTATCTTAACCAAGCAGCATCAGTCAATTTATACTGTGCAATTTGAAATGGAAGAACTATAGCTCACCTGGGATCCTGATGGCACACAGAGCCATACTGTCTGTCTTTACCATTTAACTGGGGA